TCAAAAAGCGGTTATCCCAGAGAGTTTTCGCCTCGATGTATAACGAGACAACGTTTAAAACAAAAAGAAAAGAACCAGGTTGTTCCAATCAGGCGCCCAATCCAACATGTTGGCGAACACATCTATATATTAAGAAGGTGGCTGAACACGCTGATAGGCACCTGAGGAAGTATCAAATCCAAATGGCAAACAAACCAACGAATACTCTGCGAAATTAGCATGTACACCCTAAGGATAGGGTTAGCTATTTGGACAGAAAAGAGGTCACCTATAAGATCCCTTGTAGCGGCTGCAATGCAGTTTATTGTGGACAGACAGGACGATCAGCCTCCACACGCTAACGCGAACATCAACGAGCAGTAAAGGGGCGATATCACTTGTCCGAAGTCGCCATGCACACATTAGAAACTAGACACTAATTCGTATGAGAAGAAACTTGTATTTTAGGCTCTTTTCCATGCAAGAAAGGCCGCGAGTTTTCATAAGGCATCAACTCCGATGACTCGTGCATCAACAAACACGTCGAATTGGACGCGATGGATAACAACCTCAGGCATGCATAGAAGAGAAGACAGCCTATCCGGAGTAGAGGAAGCGAAAACCAGCCACCACCGACCGCAAGAATAATTGCGGTCTACAATCAGTTTCTAACCGACTGCATAATTACATGCGAGTGTAAAATATTTACCCCACTGACCGCACAATCATATGCGGATGACGATTATGGACTATTACCTAAGCCACTTTACAAGCATATGTTAGCCATCATTTTAATTAACTATTTCGTACAATTTCCATCCGTCTGACCACGGCCTGGTGTGCCAGGGTCGAATATTTACACAATAAACCACTCCCAAATAACTCCTTCAACCGAACTGTTAATTTATTTCCTTTTTGGGGTCAATGGCATTTTTGAAGAGAAGACAGCTCATTCTTTTGTGATTTTCTGTCAGGATCATTGGAATACCTTAAAGCACGCTTATTGGAATTCAGTTCAACAGATACCAATGGGGTCTAGAAACAAAGATCGACCTACAGCTTTGAGAAGGGTAAATCATCAGTGATTGGTATAGGGATGATGAGGCGAAACCAAATACTAGGCATGACAACGAATACATGTCGCGCAGTGAAAGGGAGGGGGCCCTTTGCCTTCGTTAAAAACTCTTCTTCCTTTTCCAGGTCAAAATTAGCCGTCAAAATTAAATCTCTGTAGCCCCTAAGCATGATAGAACTGAAGGGACAGGCATCTAAACACTGTAACGTTCATTTTGCGCTGAGTTGCACAACAAAATCTCCCACTTTTGAGAAGAAGGCAGCTCCTACCTTTGCCATTTTTAGTCAAGGTCATTAAAATACTGTAAGGTACGTTTATTGGGATAGAGTTCAACAAATACAACTTAGACAAGAAAACAAGAATGACCTACCGGTATACGAAGGGCTGATCTTCACTGTGTGAAATACCAAAGACACAAGATGCCCTGGTACCAGGCCTGAAAATGAAGATGGGTCGCCCACTAAAAGGGAGTGGGCCAGCTGTCTGTGTGATGTCCTTTTCTTCTTTTTCAAGGTCATAAATATGTTCCATCCATGGGCAGCTTGTGGTCAGTTTTACAATCATTCCAGAGTGGTGGACAGAAAAACGTGACTTAAAAGCATCCTCCACAATGGTCTTAGTCGGTAGCCAATCGTCTACTATACGCCTGGCATTTGTAACCAATTCGTCAGAGACCAGGGCAAGCGCCTTAAGGAAGCATTGCTGTAAGAAATAATGAATCGAGAAAGAAGACCTCTGACAATAACAAATGTGGATTAAGCAAACTCCTTAAGATAAAAAGCAAACAACTAGAGGTCACACCCTGTAGAGTATTAGGAGACGTGACTTTGTAGTAATACTCTAGCGCTTCCCAACTCTCATCTCAGGCCATGCATGGGGTCACGTTATTGAAGTCTCAGTCTGCCTTTGGGACAACCAATCATGTTTGCCACAAACTGTACCAATTCTAAACCCCATGCGGCAGCTAGCAAGTGCGCACACGCCGACTTGTGCCTCTATCAATCCGCTCGGGCCAATCACCTCCCTACGACTGACTCACATAGGACCTTATTTGACGGTTCCTGCGCTTTGGCCTTTCGGACACAGAATTATAACGGACGATTTTGCAATCCTACGACCGTCAACTTCCACCTTCCACCTTCTTTACTGCTTTTGCACAAAATATGTTTTCCTTCCAGTCTGGTCTGGTACGTTTTCTCTCCACAACGACGAGGCCTAAAACTTGCAGTGGCGTGGTAGTTCCTTATAAACTAAGCACCCCGTGATGGGCTTCGTGGCATAGATGTTACAGTGAACAAGAAATCCAATGATAAAAGGGTGATTAAAATGTTTCTTGAAGCGTTTGGGGTTTAAAAAAATCACTTTTGTGCGGAGTGCTTTCTATTGTTGTTTCCTGTGATATTAGAGGCAGACGCATGCGACAACCCCTTTATTGGCGTAAAGGAAAATTCTCCTAAAAATAGGAGCAACTGAAGGTTAACTGCATGGTTCACATGCCTACATAGGTCGGGTTTCTTTCGCCATATGTAGGATGCTTCCATGCAACGTAAGATGCGGTTTGTTTGTGCTCGAACAAGAACGCGGAATGATGTTTTAGTGTCGACGGAGTGACTACTGTCTAGTAAGTGTTTTGTAATAGATGACCGTGCTATTTGGTATTCTTGCTTTAAAAGCCAAGTAGGCAAATGTTTAGCAGCCCTGGTCGCCAATTGCCTTTGCGTACGGCCAATGTACTTGCATCCCCAAGTGCAGGTGACTTGACAGGTGCAGTTTGAGGTGGCGTGCAAAGTCAAGGCTTCCTTGCGCCGGTTGATTTGGAGACTTTCAGTTTGAGTGAGGAAGACAAGTTCGGCCGCAAAGTTCGTTCTTTTATTGAACAACATAGTCTTCGCTTAATTGTATTTGACATGTTGTTTCCTTTAGAGCTTAAGGATAAAAAACGGGCTTTCTCGGAACCGAGTGGTCCGTAGATTTTGGCTGTAAAGGGCCGCTGTATTTTGGCGAACATTTGCCTACTTGGCTTTTAAAGCAAGAAAACAAAATACCATGATCGTCTTTTACAAAACACTTACTAGTCAGTGGTCACTACGTCGACACTAAGATATCATTCTGCGTTCTTGTTCGAGCACGAACAAACTGCATCTTACGTTACATGGAAGCATTCTACATACGGCGGGAGAAACCTGACCTAGTTAATTTCCAATTGCCATGATTAATACATACAGAACTTTTATTTTTGTTAAAAAAAAGAGAGCGTTGGGAGTCACAAATGTCAAAACGAGAGTGGTTCAATGGATGTCAGCGACGGAGTAACCAACAGAGCTTATCATGACAGGGATATATCTAGGTATCTTTGGCTTGCAACATGCAGGAAGCCAATAATGCCGGACAAATTTAAGTAGATTTCTATCCAGACGTAGCGTAAATAAAACATAAACACGAAGAAGATGTTATATTTGCAGCGAAGGATTAAACGTCCCTTGAATAAAGAAACATTTTTCAGCTTCAGGGCACATACGGCACAATACCGAACAAATATGCGCTTCGAAACGGTCTAAAACAGTTGGATTTATAGTGGTTTAAGTAAGAAAGCTTGAGGAACTAGATGGAAACTGCAAAAGTGCGTACTTGGTCATCGAATATGATGATGATGGTGGCAAAGGAAAGCATTTTTTTAGTTTTCGAGCTTCGAAGGGAACTTACGATTTCATTTTCGTCTCTAGTCCGGTTTGGATTAAGACGTGCCACTCGAGTACATATTGCAGTTGCAATACAGTAGGTGATTCCATTTATAACAAAATAAGAGTTTACTTTGGTGGACCGTCTGAAATTGACACACCATTGTCAATCGCATCCACTTCACTAATAAGATCCTTATACAGCTACGTTTTCGAAAGAACTGAAGTGCCGGTAGCATACCCGTTTAAATAGCGCTTCCAAGTCCTCATCGGAATTCAACTTCCCAGCAATCTCGGTGATTACTCTTTTACCGAAGTGCGCATAAATGAGACCCGCACTGCTCAATTTCACGGCTGGTTCCAGCTTAGGATGGAAATACTTTATAGTAAGCTTAAATGATCTAAAAAGGGATTAGTACGAAAGTAGAGAAAGGTGTTATTAAGTACGGCTGATGATGGTCAAAACGATTAGTGGCCGCATCAAAGACAGAGCCCACATCAACTACGATGTTGCAAGTGGTCAGCTATCTGTCATCCCGGGTGCGAATAATGTCTGCGCTTTTGTACTCTGGTAGTTGTTTGAGCATTGCAATTGCCAAGACTTCATCGCAGTGGAAAACGGCGTTGTGGGTCCCAATCACCCTTCGGGCGAATTTGGGTTGGCTTTCGCCGAGGTATCTGCAGTTTTAAAAGCAACACTTACCACATATGTTGGATAAAAAAATACAGACACACAAGAGTGTTGAACAGCAAAGAAAGAAAAAAATGAAAATACGCCTTTTATTACAAACCCATATTCTGCCATCTCATAGGGGTGTAAACTGTCCACCTAAAAACGACGATTGCGTTTTGCATTGTATGAGACACTAGCGCCAAAGAAGAGTTCAATGACGTTTATATTTATTTCAGCTGTTTTTGCAAACTTCCAGTATTCTGCCCAATTTCATACCAACCTGCGGCAGGAGCTTCGGAAAGCTTAGCCTTGTGAACCGAACCCAAGGGTCATTGATTATATGCGTGTTTTACGGGCTTTATTGAGCGGAAGTTGGAAGTAATATTCCACCCACTTCCTCCATGCGAAAAGCGGTGTCAAAGGAGCGGATAGTAACATGAAACTCATCGAACGGATTACGGAGGAAGAGTTTAAACCGCCCTACTCATCCGTATTAAGCAGCAGCAATATCATTCTATCGCGAGGATTTAATTTAACAGCATAAATCCCTGGCAGCTGCGATCTTCGTACGTGGCTCCTCGTGGCAAGACAGAAGTTTAGGAGCCAAGTGGTAGAAATGGTTTATTCTGTACGAAAGAAAAGGTGTATGTGTACGAGAAAATTGACTATCAGAGGTGCGCGCGACCGCAGGCCAAATGGGCACCTCTGAAGTGAATTGAGCACGTGGGATTCCAAGAAGTCTAGGACATATTTTTTTCTGTAGCCAATCAGGAAATAGATAATTAGTGGACAGCGGAATTCAAGGCGCATCGAACACGAGCGTTGGGGGGAATTGCGTGCATGCACGACTGCAAGGTTTGACATCCGCAGGAAAAGTGAGTCGGTGTAATGTTTCTGATCACAGGTTCTCGGTGGGTGCTCCAGGGCCTCTATAACTGTACACTCTATCCACACAGCAGTGTGTTAGTGGCGCATCTCTGGGAGTGAATAGTTGTTGAAATTTGTAATCGTTTACCCTAAAAGATGCCGTATTCTCGTCAGTACTGCAGCTCGGATCGTCACCCCAACAATTATGGGCAAATGGCCTGAAAAGATAACTTCATTCGCCTCCTGAAATAAACCTCCTTAAGACCATAATTACCTAAAGCTAAACATACGGTATCAGTAGCACAGTGGTCAATTAGCCGGTGCTATAATGCGAATTTGAGACTGGTAAAGATAAAGTAATTGTACGCACAATCCAGTCCGCGTAATAGACAAAAGGAATGGCAATAAAATGCATGTCTTTTGTCCAGTTTTACAATAAAAGTCAGACGCCTCAACTGTGCCGATGATTAAAAAAGTCGAGGAACTTCATCCTATGATCGTAACTGGACATTGGAGATTTATTTCCTCTAGTATTTTTCTTCCAGCATTCCTACAGCCCATAATCCGTAAACATAAAGAATAATTGTGCCATTCACTCTGGTTTGTAGCTCACATTGAAAAATGACAGGACGGTCCTTAGAGGTCCGTTTTACCGTTGGCTTATAACAATAACCTACTTTTACATTTTCAATAAACCAAATTTTTCACTTATATTCGCTAAACTCCGCCAATATAAGGTTGCATTTTCCTTATTTGGCATCAGTATCCTGGGTCACAGGAGTTAACCTTGATGAATTTTATTCATTTTTATTACATTTAAACAAGTATGAATTACATGAATTTAATATATTTAGGCACTTCCAACACAAATATATTTTCATTTACACTCACTTACCAAGAATTAAATGTTTGACAAAAAGTACGTTAAACAGTTGGGTGGGAGAATACATTTTTTGGGGCCAAACAAGAATTTTTTGCAGAAAAATGTATGTAAGCAGACATTTCTGCTTACTTGTTTTATCCATGGTGTGCCAAATCTTTGTGTGAAGTAGGTACCTATACCAAAACTTGGAATGCTTTTAAATATACATATATATATATACAGATATAAATATGCATAAAAAGAGACACTCATAGTTTTCTCAAATTTTCTGAAAAAAGCCGCGCTTACATTTTGAGCTACGCAACATATCTGTAAACATGACTTACATGTCAGTTGTTTCGTCTCTAGTACGCTTAAGACTCTGATCCATCTAGTTATAAGTAGATTATACTATCCGAGCACGTGGAGCTCTCTGGTGA